ACTAGGAAAGTAGGGTTATACCCAAATTAAAATCACTGAATTGCATCAGAACCCCATTTTCTCAGCTAACATACCCATTTCACTCAAATTCTAAAATATCCCAAAAACCCCTTCATCCCAATCATAACAAACTTAAACCCCATTATAAAACAACAAAAATAATTGAAATTAAGAACAAGAACCCTAAACCCAAAAGAGGAGTGCGAGAGAGATTACATATTGGCGCAGGGAAGAGAATCGAGGTAAGCATGCTCGAACTGAAGAGGGCGCTTAGGGCGACGTTGAGGAGGAAGAGCTGGGCCCACCGCCACTTCCTCTCCTTCTTCTTCAACTCCTTTAACTGCTGCTGCTTCTTCTCCATTGCTGGGATTTATTAACTGGGTTTCTGAAACTTCGGTCAATTTCCCATTCTCGATCTCAATTTGAGGCTCCTCCATTAATTTGTGCTCTAGTTTCTCTGTATAACAATGGCGGTTGAAGTTGGATTTGAGGTTTCTGGAGTTCGAGCAAAGAAGTGAAAATTTTTCACTTTTTTGAAGGTGAAATTAAATAAATGAAGAGGATGAAGAAAAAATGGGAGATTTTGATTATGGGTTTGTGTAGTTGGGCTAATGTCCAATAAATTGAGTAAGAAATTTGGGCTTTTTTGCAACAAAAATATTATGTCAATTTTTTGGATTTTGAATTTTGATTGTTGTGATGTACTTGGGTATAATTAGCATTGGTATGTTTTTCATGTGGCCAAAATCTAGGCTTCTAGTATGCACTTCAAGATTAAGATGGCCTTCTTAAATCCCACATTCAAGGCTCAACACTAAACCTTTACTCTACCCCTTCCCTCACTATGCTCTAGTTATTGCTAACTAGATTGTGCACTTCAGTGCACAATTTTCATGGTGCACTCGGAACATAGCTTAAGTATAAGAAATGTGAAGCTTTTTGCCTATGTTATTTGATTTTGAATTGAATGTTCTTTGGATTCGAATTCGTTCTTTCACTTTATATTTCATTCATTATAACCCGTGTTCTTTCACAAATGCAAAATAGACATTTTCTTTGAGTTTGGCAATAACTTAATATGGTTTGAACTATATATATGTACTTTGGGCTTGGAGTATACATGCTTTTGTGTTTGAAATGTGTGTTCTTCTATCCACGTTTTTTTTTGTTGCATTTTTCCTATGTGAGATCCTGAAATGGGTGCACATTGAGTTTTGCCTTATTACTAGTGAGTAGAATTGTCATTGTGAGAAGTTGAAAACTATTCATCAATACTTGAAGTGACATGATATAACACTCTATTATGTTGAACGCAGTAATCTTAACATGATTTAGCCTGAGCCATACACTTGATTTGACAACTATACTAATGAGTAATTTAACTTTGAAACATTTGATGGGAAATGACTCGAACGAGCCATGGAATGTATAGGAGCAGCTATCATCAAACTTTATCCTTGCCTTCCATCTCAACTTCTCAAGCAATTAGGCTACATTATAAAAAACATAAACTATACATAGCTACGAGTAGTTAAGAAGTATAACTAGTAGTATACTAGCATTTAATTTTGTAATTTGTAGTTTTTTTTTTTCCTACACAATGAATGTAACAAAGTACATAAAAATATATATAAAATGAAGATTGTATCAAAACATGTATATCAGTATATACATAGATTACATACATGTCCAAATGAAGAGCATGCATTAGTTTAGTAATTGGTACTAGTAATGGAAAAGAAAGGGAAAATAAAAAATGAGGGGGAAAAAAAAAAAAAAAAGAAGAGTAAACTTGCATACATTCTTAAGCTCATGCAATTATGCAAATGCATTTACTATATTACAAAAGAAATTTTTTATATAATAAAGTCAAATCTTGATTTTAAAAGATTACATGATTAACAACTAAGTCACTAATTAACATCTCCTAGATCTTAGCTATGCGTCCTTTCATGCAAATAACACTAAAGCAACTCACATGGGCGGTCCATTTGGACTTTGGGCTAAAAACAAAACCTTTTTTATTCTAGTAATAAAAATTTATAATTAAATTCCATAATTTATAATCAAATAAAAATGGTTAGATAATCCAATCAAACCCAAGTTAACTGGCATTGGACCCGGTTAAATCCTTGTCACGGCGTTACCGACCGGTTTTATCGGCCCAATTAAGTTGAAACTTCTTCTTGTATTTGTTTATACTCACCTTGTCGGGATCCTATGTCTCCTCATTTCCAAACTTTTGCATTGACTTTGATGCTATATTACACCAATACCATATGCTTTTGTCACTAATCATACTAATAATTCTACTACTTACTTCCTTTGTATTTTATGTTTCATACTCTTGTGTATGTTTTAGCCATTGCTAAAGTATGTCGTAAGGACTAAGGAGGGCCTAGCCGGATATTGGCTTGTCATGCTTACGTTCGTAATGCTGTAATGCTACATTTCAATGTTTTGTGCTGTGTAGAGGTTATGTTATGATCGATAATTTATATCTTGTGAGAATAACTACATTTGACGGGGTGATTTTTTAATTTGTTTATAATAATCATTTCAAATATACAACAATTATTGTTTCAAGAAATTAGATGAAAGTGATGACTGATAACATCTAGCTAATAAGATAGAAAATGATCCATGGAAATAAATTTATAAAATACTTTCTCCGTCTCATAATATTTTATCCGTTTTGACTTGACATATTTGTCAACACAAAATATTATTGATCAAAGTGACATAAAAAAGCAAGACAAAAAGAATTAGCAAAGCAAACACCCTAACAAATTGACCTAATCAAGTAAAAAAAAAAAAAACACAAGCTACGTTTATTTACTATAAGAGGCTATAGATGGATCAATAGATGTAAGGGTCAACTTTGTAAACAAGCTAGCTACATTTTTTCTCTATATTTTTAAGAGATGTTAACAAAAAGTAAATTGAAGTGTAATGTGTAAATAAATTATGCTGCTGGTTGCATCACTTGCATGTTACTTCATGCAGAAGTCTTGACTTTTAGAGATTTAATCATACATTTAAATGTATCTAAAGGAGGGTACATTCAATGATGTGTGATATGTGTTGTGCACTTCACCATATATATATTATGCAAGCATAATTAAAACAATAAAAATTTATGGTACTACTTGCATAACTTCACTCTAAACATTGACAACTAGTTACAATGAAATAATATACGTAGTTGAGGGTAATTATCAAATCATCTTCTTTTCGCAATAACTTGCATGTAGGGACCGGAAAAAAAAAAAAAAAAAAAAAAAAAAAAAAAAAAAAAAAAAAAAACCTCCATAAAATAACATAAGTAGAAATAAACGGAGAAAATATATTTATTATAATCAGTAGTAGTTTTTTATGGGACATATAAAAGAAGGCCCCCCTATAACCTTGTACTATACATGAACAGCCGATATTGTGGAAAGTTTGGTTTAGCATGCATATGATCAAACATTTGACCCAATCTACCATGGAATTTTGCATGCACGTCTATTTTCATGAAAACAATATTTAACCCTACTCATAATATAAATTAAAGCATATTCATGAAAAATTAAAGACACCATTTATAATATGTGGCATTTATTCATTATACCCTAGTACCCTACTTAACTTAATTATTCTTAGCCTAGCATAGAGACAACTAGTATATATGCTAAGCTATAATATGAATTTAACAAGGAAACATCACTTGTCTAACGATAACAAAGACAAGTAGAGAAATCAAATCTTTAATTTTGTTTATAAATGTTTGTCATTCTTTGCCTCAAAGATTACACCTCTCGAATTTTATCAGATAATCACAAAACGAACTATATATATCAAGCTAAATTATTTTGATAAGAATGAAATTTGGTAAATGCAGCCACGAATTGCAAGATCCAAACGTTAAATGTTAACATAATTTGATCTATTTGATTAATGGGTCCCTTTATTGTTGGCTATAATTTTCGCCTTCATTAGTTCATTTTCTATAAAAGTAGTCCAAATTATAACATTTACTGTTCATTTTATTAGTCAAACTTAAACTACATATGTGGTAAGTCTCTTAGAATATGATGATGCCTTTTTTTTTTTGTTGATAAAATCATTGTATGAAAAGCATTTAAAATATGAATATAACAACATACGTAACGTTTTAAGTCTCGGGATAATATAGAGTAACATTCTGAAGTGAAAATGACACTTTCTCGTTTAAAATTCACTTATTTTAAAAAGAAATAAATTTAGATAATGAAATTTAGGACAATAAAAAGATACAGAGTGTACGTTATGTACAATAAATTCAAATCACAATTTTCCATTAAAAAAAAAAAAGTCAAGTTCATAATTATTTCCTAAAAAAAAAAAAAAAAGTTCATAGTTATATTTTGTTAAAAAAATAATAGATAGTTTATTCATTATTTAATAGACAATTTATCCATCAAAATATATATGGAAATTTCACATGGACCATAAACAAAATGATGTGCAACAAGTTTACACAATTTAAGAGTTTGTATCGATATGGCCTAATAATGTCACCTTACAAATTGACGAATCAAACTAGATTCTATATAACTATATTTGTTCTTATAGATGAGAGTGAAGTGGTTAGAGCTTTCCTTCCGATTTCAGGAAATCTCGGGATCGATTCTCACCCCTGCCCTTGTGGCTCTCTCTAAACACCAAAAAAAAAAATATTTGTTCTTATAGATTAAGAGATATTTAGAAGATTCTATCTTATTTCAAAAGTAAAAAAAAAAATAGATGATTTACAGCTCAATTATGCAACAACGAATGAAGTTAGAATCATAGAGTATTTTTATTTTTTAAAGGAAGATGTAGTAAGTAAAATTAATTGAAGATGACATTTGGAATATTGGAGTTTTGGAGATCATTATCTATCTTCCACTTATGTGGTTCCAATGGATAAGAAAGCCAAAAGATTTGTGTTAAAAATCAATAAGAAGAAAAGATTATGTACCAAGGATCGATACCACTAGTAATAATGAAAATTATACCATTTCATTAAAAATATAATTTACCAATATGTTATCACTAATTATTCACTAATAATACTCCACAGGTGTATCAGGACAACTATCATCCGAAGCAACCTCCCTACAGCCGCCGCTACAAACACTAAATGGCGGCGGTACATATGGTGGTTTCATACACCGTAACAACGCCCAATTTACGTTGCTAAAAAACGGGTGTTGTTTAATAGGCGTAGCACCCATTACCGAACCTAACCTCCGGGTCGGATCCTTAGCTAATAGTTGTGATATCAAGTCCTTCGCTGAGCTTGGGATTGAGGGCTCTTTTGGAAATTCCAATGCCCGAGCCACAATATTTGCTAATGTCATCTCATTATCCGAACCTTTAAACGGCGTCGTTCCATAAAAAAGCTCGAATATAAAAATGCCAAGTGTCCACCAATCAACCGCGCTCCCATGCCCTTCCCCAGATACAATCTCCGGGGCTAGATATTCGTGGGTCCCGACGAAAGACATGGACCGAACATCAACAGGTTCGGCACAAAACTCTGGCTCGAACCTACGACCGGGTTTTCTCTTTGTTTTCCACTTTTTCTTCCAGTTCGGATTAAAACATGATACAGAAGGGACAATGCAGCTAGGTATGATGCATGAAGAAGAGTTCGAGCTAGGGTCGCGACCCGTACCAAGTAGGTTCGGGTTTTGGTTTGATTGTTGAGAGTTTTGGTTTGAAGAGGAGGTAATTATCTGTGGTGTAGGAGTAGATTGTTCATCACATTTTAAAGAGAGATCAAAATCGGTGAGCATAATGTGGCCGTCCGATCTAACTAAGACGTTTTCCGGCTTAAGATCACGGTATACTATACCCATCATGTGGATGTATTCCAATGCTACAACGACCTCTGATGCATAGAACCTGCATAACATTAAGGAAATTATTAGAGTGCTAACATGAAACAACAATACTCAAACAAAAACGGAAATGTGACTACTTTTTTCGGACTTCCCAATGTACACGTATGTATGTTAGGTCACTATGTTATTTAAAATACTTAATTATAAAAGGTTGAGACAATATGATAATAAATATCAAATCAGTGGTTAGCGTAAAGCCGTAAACTAATCAAGGAGTGATAATTTGATGGAAGGTTGGTGGGGCAAAATTTATGGTCTAGAGTGTAGAAAATGAAAGTGGGACAGTGTTAAATAACTATATTAATCAAATAAAGAAGATTAAGTAGTTGACAAAATTAGGAAGAGGGTGGTCTTTATCTAACCTAAGGGTCTAAAAACTTAATTATGCAAACCATATGATACAATAATTGAAAAGGAGGAAACTTCTGCTACTAAATATGGGTAAAACGCTAGTTGGAATGATTGCCTCTAATACTTTGTCCTTGTACTAAATTCACCTCATAGGAAGAGGGCCACACAATGTACTAATTCATATATCTATCACAAATCAATGTTAGTTAGGTACGTGATTTATCAAGGTTTTAAGGGAGGTCTGCTCAAAAACTCAGACTTTTTATATTTGTCTAAATAAATCACATACTGTTGTTTTTTCCAAAATATTATTTTGAAAAATGGGTTTATAAAGTATACAAACAAAAACAACATTGTCATTGGACCATATCAGGTTTTTTTGATTGGGTGAAAGTGTAAGAACAATAGTGTTCTCATAAGAAAGCAGTCATTCAATGTCCACATAACAAATTCATATAACACTATCTAAATGGTAATTAACGATAATCTTTAAAGCTTATATAACACTATAACACTATCTTCACTGTAACCGTATATTCATATAACACTATCTTCACTCTAACCGTATATTCATATAACACTATCTTCATTGTAACCGTATATTCTATTGGGACATCATGCTCTCAAGTGTATTTGTAGTAAATATATCCCGTTGTTTTATTGTCGATTCAAGTTTCACTTTCAAAATTCAACTTACACTACCACAGTCCACAAATTAAGGAAAAAATAACAATACAACAAATGATCAACTAGGCAATTAAATAAAGAAAATCAACAAAGAAAGGTAATCCTTAAAAGATGGAGGAATAGAGGAAAAGAAGAAGCAAACAAGCATAATAAGACGACCCTTTTTCCATTAAACGTCAAGTCTAATTGAAATACAAGTAATATTGACAAGGTAGGGTTAAGTGTAGCTTAGCAATTAAGAGAGTAGGCATACGAAAATAAATTAACAGAATATACCAAGTAACTAAGAATAGAAAAGGCAGGAAAACAGGGCAAGAATCCTTGAACAAACAGAGAGATATCCCACTTATCCCGGCAAAGTTCCGGGCATATCATGGGGTGCGGCTGCCTATAAACTAGGCCCATAATTGTCTGTTTAAAAGGTTGCTACTATGAATAAGACAACCATAGTTTCCTTAAATCCTTGATTCTTCCTAGTTTTTGTCTAAACAAGCATGTTGTATACAATACACTTATCTTGTATAGTACTAGTCCTATCATACAGAATAAGTTTTTTAACAAAGCATAAACATCTTTACATTTTACTATGTATTGGTCTTCTTTCATTACTTACAATTCCCATGGGCCATGGCTTCTTACAACCAAACAATAGCAAAGTGCATTAGGAAATTGAATGGATAAAAGAGCTAAGAAGTCACTATCAGTTGTTTGGTTTGAGTAGAAGTACATACAAGTTGAAGTAATATTACCAGGACCGTTTTATGGTTGACAAACTCGAAAATATTTTCCATAATTCCCGTGAAATGAAAGTATATATTAAACTTAAATCGCATGTTTCTAAGGGTGCAACTTCAAATTTCCTTCATGCACTACAAAAAACCACTTAAATTCTAAACTTTCAATTCCCACCCAAGTATAATTGATTAATTGAAAGTAGCAAGGCAGGCAAAAAAACACTTGTTAGAATTCAATTTTATCTACAATGACAAAATAGAGCTGGCTTTCATGCCAGTACCAGCTGTACTGAGGATTTCTAACAGTACAAAGCTTTGAAAATTAAAATACAAGTACACTCCAAAATTAAATTTTTTTTTAAAAATGATGAAAACTGCAACGTGTCAAGCATTAAGTGGACAAAGAGGCATTGACTGAAGAGCAAAGGTCAAAATCAATGAAGAGCTAAAAACATGTAAAGGGATCACGTAGAGTCGAGCACGTAGGATAAAACCTTGTTAGTGTTTCACATGATCTCATCTCCTAAAAACTGAATTAAATCTACTGAAAATATTATTTATTTCACTAACATTATGTGACACTGACCAGCATTTCTTGGGACCCATTCCCTGACAGACACGTATATCCATCAGGTGGTGGCTCCCACTCTTTCACACAATTTTCCCTTCTCCATTAACTAATCCTCTCATATTTTGGGTCCCCTTATAATTTCAAATATGCCAAAATTTTGGAAAAAAAATTTAATCTTAAGTAATTAATTTGTAGTTAATTATGATATAATTATACGAGTAATAATAAGAATAATTAGTTTGTGGCTGCTATTGCAAATCTTAGAGGTTGATGCACGTGGATTATGGTACTCAACTAATTAGTTCAAGCAAAGTGGATCAAATAAAAAACAAGCTATAACATTAGTAAATCTTGCTTGAGAATAAGTTGGATAAAAATAAATTCAGTCTATTTAGAACAAGAGAAATTGAGTAAACATAGCAAATTTTAAGCTACCATCACCATCATTAATCCCTTACAATGATATTTTCAGATATTTTGTCAAATTATGGGACACACGACGTAATTAATACTTATTTAAGGTTTAATAATCATCTAAAGTCTTAGCATCATACTCTTTGGACAAATGTTACAAAATGGAATTTGAGTGTAAAGAGGTGAATTTGGAGTATTGGACTATCATTACTTCATCACGTAGTGGAGATATGAAGTTATGTTACAAATCTCCAATTTGAAGCTAATTTCCTTATAACCTGGATGTCGAATACAAATAATTAATCATTTATTTGCTTTTATATTGTTTAAAGCTTATTGGTGATTGATGATACAAGTATGATCATCATGAATAAGTACACTTTCCAGGACATTGATTACAAAGCTCATTAGTTTGAATATATAGCAAAATTTACAACCACGATTTAGGGAATTATGATAGGAAACAGTCTCGATAAAAAGATCTCCTAGCTTTATAACTTTACAAGAAAATCTAATTATTACTTTTTTTTTTACCCTTACTGGAAAAAATAAAATTATTATCACAAAAAAGATTCATTATTACCAAGTTTAATTAACTAAGTTTTCCTTCATTACATAATCCCAAATGGTCACATTACTTTCATTTTTTAAGTCAAATTACATGATCGAAGTTTATACAATAGTAAAAACTAAGACCGTTGTAATTACAATTATTAGTTGTCAAATCACATATATGGTTTAGAATATCCCAGATTATGTTAGCCAAAGTTGAAAACACATGGAATACTTTGATATTATTACTAAACAAAACCAAACATATAGCATTAAAAATTATATTATACACTCGTATACTATACCACTTTGTTGACCAAACGAACCGTTTAAGAGGTGCCATTAATAAAACTCGATAGTAATGTTAATGTACAATATTCCATCTATATTTATATTGGAAAAGAAAGTTACTAGAGTGAAAAACAAATTTACTACTTCCAACACAGCAACACACGAGGAGCAATAATGACAATAACGTGGGGAAGAGAAGAAGAGTCCGGGAGTTAGATTAATTAAATTTATTAATTAATTAATGACAAGTAATTAAGTAAAAAGAAAATAAAAAAAAGGGTACCTGACGGCAGAGTCTTCGAAGCGTTTAAACGGCTGACGTTGACGGAGAACATGAAGATCACCGCCATTACAAAACTCGGTCAACAAACAGGACCATTTAGGGGAGTCAAGACTAGCGTAGAGAGTAGGCAAGAAGGGGTGATCAAGCATTTGAAGAATCTCGCGTTCAGCCCTAGCACGGCCGTGTTTATTACGAGCAGCAAGTTCGCGATTATCCATTACTTTGGCGGCGAAGTGGATGCTGTCGTTGTCTTTGATTTCGGAGAGGTAGACGGCGCCGATGTCGCCGGAGCCGAGGCGAGAGAGGAAGCGGAGGTCGGAGAAGGAGAGAGAAGGGAGGGATTTCACGGCGGACCACCAGGGGTCGGAGGAGAGAGAGAGGGAGGGTTGGGGGTTGTGGTGGGAGGAGGAGGCGGTGGTCCATGTGGTGGTGGTTGTTTCGGAGGAGGAGGAGGTGCTGCGTGGTGCGGTGGTTGTAGTGGTGGAGTTGAAGCTCATGGATTGGAGATCGTCGGTTAGTTCGTCGAGTGGTGGGGTCCATTGTGGTGGGGGTTGGGGTTTTGGGTCGGGTGAGGGTGGGGGTTGATCCATGGAGGAGGAGGAGAGAGAGAGAGAGGGGTCAAGGACTCAGGGGGAGAGTGAGAGTGAGGTTGGAGAGAGAGGGAGATTTTGAAGGGGGGAAATGGAGGTGGAAGAAATGGGCTGAGAAATGGGCTTTTTGAATGGGTGTGAATGTGGGGTCTGCTGTTTTTGAGGTTTGAGCCTTCGTGGGGGTTTTCTTTTTACTTAATCATTTTAACCAAAATTAAAAAAAAAAAAAATGATTGTAGTTAAGGGCGTGTTTTGTTTAATAAACTAAAATGATTGGAGTTGAACTAAACTAAATTAAACTGATTGGAGTTGAATTGAACTGAACTAAACTGATTGGAGTTTAATTGAACTGAACTGAAATTAAGATGAAGAGAATAAGCCTTAATTGTGGGGTTTTTTTTTTCACTTTCATATCTTGGTGTTCTAGGGTGATTCGGTGTTAGGGCGATAACAAAATTCACATGCAACTAACTACATTGTGAATTTTGGTGTTTTGGTGTGTGTTTTGGTCAGAGGTTACTCAATTGATCAAGAGTTGTCCGATCAGTGTTTTGGTATGTGTCAGCCGACCACACGGTATGACCAACTAAACATAAAAACGAGCTACAAATTTAACATTTGTACGTAAAACAAATCATTTATTGATAATTATAAGTTCACCTACTTAAACTAATTAGCATTATATGCTGTTATATACTCCATTGCTCCATTATAAAATGCTATAAACATTATGATTTTGGCCCTACTCACACTTCTTCTTATTAAGTCATAGTGTCATTTATATGGAAGAAGAAACAAAATCTTATCACGGGTTGTCTTGTTGGATTCATCTTAATTATAATTGATTACACTACTTTTATTTCCGATGATTTTGATATTTTAAAATATGTCCAGTGTTAGAAGCTTTGACTATCAGCTCTAATCACTATCACGTATTTCAAAACATTATTGCGTGACATCTTGCTCGATTCATCTCGATATCTATTTTTTAAATATAATTTTTTTATAAAACGAAATCAATGCCATTAATAGTAAAAAAAAATGTAAGAGTTCGTCGATATAGTAAGTAAAGAACATTCAAGAATCGTACTATCAAAACACAACCAAAAGATATAAATTGTGTATTGGGACATTGGCATGTTAAATAATAGAAAAGATGCTTTAATTTTATTTCAATTCACATCGCATGTCTCCAAACAAATTACCATACCGTATATTCCGTAAATTATATTCCAACGATGTGCATGGGAATTGTCTATCAGTGTAGAAACTAATCAATGATTGTAAATTTGATGAGGAAACCAAAAGCCTCGTACATAGGCAGGAAAATGTGATTGTTGTCGCATGGGTAAGCCTTAAAAAAACATAAAGTAAGTTGACAAGGATTGGTTAAATGGCTAAAAATGATCTTTTAAGGTACGGACTACGGAGTAATAAGCTAAGGTTCATGCAACAAATAATAGAAAAGATGAATGTACATTTTACGGGGTAGTCACTAATAGTAATAATGCATTGTTATTGTGGAACCGCCATGAAAGAATTAGTGTACTGTTAGACCTACAAAGAAGAAGCAAGGATGGTGCTTTAAATCCTTTAATAATCCTTTAAATGAGTTCTGCAATCTCTAATTAACTACTTTTAAAGTTGGATGACGACGTAGCTTCAACGCTTACCAGAATTTTGTTTATGTTGGGACTTGGAATTAATACTATATTTACTTTACTCAAATCTTGATTTTATTAATTAAACTAAGTAGTATTACTGTATTATTGAGATTATACATATATATATACGTACTAGTAGCGTTCAAATTACTCACTCCATTAATTTCACTTCCAACAGTTATAATTATTCACAAATAAAAAATGTCTCAAGTTAATTACCGACCACAATACCATGTATACACATAGTAGTAAAGATTGAGCCTAACAATAAAATGTCGTATCAGATGATATCACATAGACTCGTATCAAAAATTCAAAAAAAAATAAATCAATTTGCATAGCTGTAGAATTTAAACTGTCTAAACTGTAGTTTTTACTCGTTAAAAAATAAACTACTTTTAAAAAAGATAATAAATGCCGGTTGGGTTGGTCCGACCAAGAAAGGCATGGGAGTTTTGGGCATTGCTTGGGCCTCCTGACCTTCTAATCAACCTGAAACTTTTTTTCTCGTCCCCATTCGGTCTTACCTGATTGGCAAAGCAGAACAGTGCTTTCGAAAAAGCCATTTAGTTAGCAATTAATATTAAATTACTTAGATGTCAATTAGGTGGAGATAATTATGTAATATAACCTCTTCTTCTTCTTCTTCTAATCTTCCGATTTTATGAGTATCTGTTTCAAAATATTAATCTTTTCACTTACACCGTTTCATATTTATTCAATTACCGGAATATTATGCAAAGTTATTACTCCAATATTGTGCATGGAGACTTATTATTCAAATAATTTAAGTTATTTTCATTGTCTTATATTTAAAGCTATTGCGTGTAAAAAAATTTGTTTACGTAAGGGGCCCTTTTCTTACATTATGCCTAGGGCCCATAAATTTTTAAAAACGGGGCTGATTTAATTTCGTTATATGAAACTATCTTTAATTTAATTGCCCTTCTTCTTCCCAAAAATAAAACACACACACACAAAAAACTACGGAATATCTTTAACTTAAATTATTAAAATTATCAAAACTGACTAAATATATACTTAAATTAATAGTTCTATGTATATTCTTACAAGGTAACATAAATACTAGCTTAGCAAATAAAATGTAATCAAATTAAATTAAATCATGATAAAATTAAACCATGATAAACTCGGATATTTATATACATATTCAAATGAGGAATAAATTCTTGAAAAAAGAAAAGGAAACCAAGCGAAAACGAAAGCAAGCAGCTACAAATCAAACAAAAAAGCTAGATTAAGGGGGAACTAGGCGTGGTAAAGCCACACCCCTAGCATCTTCCTCCAAGATCCTACTAAAATCTAACGGAACCAACTCAATTAAAAGTATTCTGATGTTTTGGAAGACTCTACGGTTCGTCAACCAATCCGCAGTGCAATTGCTTTATCTATATATACTCAGATCTAATTAATCACCTTGTATATATGTATATATATTATATTGAGTATGATAACTAAACATATGACAGTTGGCAAACACCAAATACTACTCTTTAGTATAAAACTAGTAATTAATGTTATAATTAAACAATAGTATGGACACAATAATAACAAAAATGTACATACATGAATCATGATGTTTATTAAGTACAAGTAAGACAATTGAGACTATAAAGTACAATGCTCCAATGTTATACAGAGTAATACAATATGGGTGAATTTTAGCTTTTAAGTCCAAAGTACTTTTTTTCACAAATATGTATAAGATTATATATTTCACTAAATATTAGCAAATATATCGATCAATGTTGACTAGTACTCGTAATCAATTGGATTGTTACCTTCAAATCAACTAATTCAGGTTTAGATCGAAATTGGGGTGGCACACGCCCCACATACACATATACATATATCCGTATCATAATTTATAACGTTTACATTTGAAAGTTTCTTATACACCAAACATTTGAGATTTCAGTATTATGAAAAACATGATCCACAAATAATAAAAATGAGTATATTTAGTAAGCTGGCAATTGACAATTTGACATTAAGTCAACTACCTTCTTAACTACCAAAGAAATACATGCCATGCAAACTTATTTTGAGTACACTGTTCATCATGCATGCATTATGTATACATTTATCAAATTAATACTGTAGATTTTTCGCATATATAAGTTCCAAAAAAAAAAAAAAAAAAAAAAAAAAGTTGCCAACCACCAAAGCCGATTGCACTGTTCCCCTTTAATCATACACTTAAATGTCTCTCCTTCTATTTTTTGGTCTCCTTGTTCCCTTTTTTGATAGATATACTATACTAGAAAATGTCTAAATGTACATTTTAATACACTCATTATTTGGGTAGGTTTTTATTTAATTTGTATAATGATTAGCTAGAAAGGTATGTTGTATATATAGGGGTGGCTCTATATATTATAAACATCTAGTTTTCGGTGTATATGTAATTCCGTATGAAGTTACGTCGAGTGACTTTTACGGACTAAAACATAAGATATGTATAGTGTTTGAGGTCAAATTTTGACCATTAATTTCTCTCAATACATAAATGTAATTAAATATCAATTTCATAGTTAAATTTTTAAAAATAAAAATCATGGAAGACATAATAATGGCTTTTGATCAATTCTAATAAATTATCTATACATGGTAATTTCAAACACAGATATAATTTAACGTAACAGACTAACATATGTGAATGTGAAAACCCTTTTTGAGCATTACATACTTAGGTAATAAATAAGGAGTACATTTCATCCTTTGATAATTTCAAATGACATGAAATTACATTATTTAATTTAATTATAAATGATACGTAGTATATAAGCAATATGACTGTTTATTGAAGAAAAAAAGAAAAAAAGAAATTTGTATTCAGTAAACAAAACCTTTATGATGGGACCATAGCTAAGTTGCAGATTAGAGGAATTATTTTAATTAATTATGTTCATACTAATTAAATTTATGTCTTTTGTGTGTTTGATCCTTAAAAGCATAAGTGATTATAGCCTTTTACGCTGTTTAATAATCTATTTATCTCTTGGTAATCAAATTTTATGTAGGGGAATCTTTGAACACATGCATGGTAAAATTTACTCAAGTTTGTAGTGAAAATTATCCATTTTACCTCGTAAGGTTCGAGTATTCAATTTCCCTTTATCTTACTTTCTTTGGGGCATGACTTTGCTCTTATGACCTTGTCAACAGAACTACATCAAGATAAAAAGGAGTATGAATGGGGAAAAAATAAAAAAAAATGTAATAATTAAAAGTAAATGAGATATTACAAGCACAAGATAGTCTAAAATCATCACGGTTTTGAACTTTATTTCATAGTGTTATACGGGTACCAATATTATGATCAGAAAAACTTTTAAAGCAGCATAACATTTTTTTTTATACAAAATGGTTCTTGTTTTATTCTTGATGATTTTTAAAAGAGAAGCTTTTGTATGAGACCAAACTCATCAATATAACGCTCAATACTAATGTGAGACGTTATCAGCATTAAAACTCAAGTCAAATATGGAGTATTAAAACTCTTACAATTAGTTGTGTTATCAGCATAACGTTAAGGTTTTAAGAAAATGAATTAATGACTAATGTGAGACGTTGTTTAAATTACATTTCCATGTAAACTAAAAGTGATTGTTTTTGGTGAAACTAAAAGTGATTGTTAATTGATACAAGGAACAAATATCTTGAACATTAGCAACCAAACAACATGCAATTGACCGACCAAGATTTGAAAAAAATTAAGTTGCAATGGGCCAAGACGATGTTTATGAGAAAACGAAGTCGGTATAAATCGGATTATAATTTCAAATGGAAGTGGGTCTGCCCGTTTAACGAACTGGATTTGGATAGAATGATGACATATTATTATATTATTGGCCCAAAAATTAACCTATCTTATGGTAAAGGCCCATAATAGGAGTAGATCCAGGTGGCCAACTTCTTTTTTTTTTTTACAAGAGGGGGCCAACTTCAATATCTCCTTGTCCACTATAAAATGGGCCGTTATGTATTGCTATTTGACATCACATGTAAACGGCTTTGGATAGAAAGATGTTATTGCTTTCTTTATCTTGATTGAAATATTTAAGGTTTGTTTGACATCATTTTTGGTTTTTAGTTTTTTGTATTTTTTAAAATTAAAAACCAAAAACAGGAAACAAGAAAAAGGTGTGTCTACTTTTCTATTGTCAGTTTTCAAAATTATCATCATTTTAATAAGTTTAAATAATTTTTTATTCATTATGTGACATATATCATATACTTTTAAAAACCAAAAAACAGAAAGCCACAACGATGCCAAACGAACCCTTAGTTTTTCTCCAAGTCAAATATTTTGTACTATATCCGCTTCTTATTACTTGCAATAAAGAGATGTTATTTATGAGATATAATATATTCCTTTGTTGCGAGTAATGTGAACCGTATATAAACTTGTAATATTATATACTGACACAACAAAAAAAAAACACTCCAAACTTTCATCCAACTAGTGGTATAACTTATAAGCCAATAAGGAGTGACAATCTCTCTTCCTATACTTAATTACAGTGCTATTAATGTATGCAAATTGCAATTCATCAATTAAAGTTACTCTATTATGTGAGTCAGAGATGTACTTATATCAAAGTATGCTTACACTTTAATTTTCTATTGCATTATTAACATATGAAAACAAAACTATAAACATTTTTTAAACATTAATAAAGCAATTAAGAGATTATGATTCCTACTTTAGAATTTTTGTACAAGTATGGTGAGGGAGAGATGCTCTAACCAATTAAGCCAATATTAATGCTCTAACCAATTAAGCCAATATTGATGCTCACACTCTTTTTTTTATCATACTCCTAGAGTCATAGACCAATATGAACACAATAGAGATACAAATATCTGAACCTTTTTTTTTTTTAAAAAAAAAAACACTATCCTATTTTTTATTTTATTTTATTTAAGTAATCATTTGAAAATAAAACAATTAGTATGCTTAATAGTTTTTGTGATTGACTTAATTACTTATATTCACCTCTATATCACACTACTTCTATTCGAATTTGAATATCACATTACTCGTCTAACTTAAACCGTAGTGACCGATGAGACGGGTATAGCTTAAAACTGAAGAGATCTATTGTACGACCATATTGAATGGGGCACCCACTATTTGCGTTGAAAAAAGACACCCAAAAAAATCAAAGTGATACTGATGACAGCCTCTCACTCTCACAGGTATCTTGTTGCATTTTTTTGTCTCCCTCGCTTTCCTTTTCTCAATTGCTAAACATCGCCCGCGAATCTCCACATAAAGCCCACAAAATTAGAGTGAATTGTCACTTTTGCCCTCAAAGTAAAAAACACAATTTCTTCTCTCAATTCTCTACTTCCACTTTCTCTCTCTAAAAAACTTTCCGAGCGATGTCGAGGCGGCCCGGCAAGGAAGTGGCGGCACAGGCGGCGGGTGGACAGCGGTTTTCCGGCGAGAAGGTATTTTTTATTAATTTTGTGTTTAAAAATTAAAAAAAAAAAGGTCGGAGGCGGTGGCGGCGCCTAGGCCAGACGCCACCACCACGGCGGCGGCGTCTAGCCCAGACGCCACTACCACGGCGGCGGCGCCTAGGCCAGACGCCGTGACGGTGGCGGTGGCGTCTGGCCCAGGCGCCAGAACCACGGCACCGACGTCTGGCCTAGGCGCCGCCGCCGTGGTAGTGGCGTCTGGGCTAGACGCCGCCGCCACCGTCACGGCGTCTGGCCTAGGCGCCGCCGCCTTTTTATTTTTTTTTTTAATTTTTTTTTGGTTTTAAATTTGAAATTTAATTTTCGAAAATAATTATTTTTTTTTTGATTTTTTTTTAAATTTGTTTTTCTTTTTTTTAATTTTAAATTTTATGTTTCTGATTTTTTTTTTATTTTGTTTTAAATTTTGTTGGTTTTTTTTAAAAAAATTTTATGTTCCCTTTTTTTTGTTATAAATTTTTTTTAAAATTTTGATGTTCTTCTTTTTTTAAGTTTTTATAATTTTATATTTTTCACTTTGTTTTTTCCAATTTGTTTTTTTTGGGTAATTTTTTTTTTTGCTTTGTTTTTTCCAATTTTTTATTTATTTATTTATTAGGTTATTAATTTTTTTATTTTTAGGTTGTTAATATTTTGTAATGTTTTTAATTTATTTTCCATCATATGTATATTGTTTTATTTATTTATTTTAATTACTTTTTTTATGTTTATATTACATGTTTATATTGCATATTACATGTTTTGTTATTTTGTGTTAGGCATCGTATTTTCGTTCTGGGGCTGGGAAGAGTATGGACATTATGAGAAGTACGATGAACTCAATGGAGAGCTCGGGGCCCAGACACGTTAGATCCCGTGGTATTTCGGCCTCGGCTCGTAGAGAACGGGTGCACTATTCTGAGGATGATGAAGATGATGATGGTGATGAGGAGGAGGAGGAGGAGGATGCAGATGAGGATGTGGACGATCAGAGTGGACCATATGATGATTACGGTCCATTCAGTCAGAGGCTTGATGATGTGTATGAGACGCGTAGGGTAGACGTGCGTAAGGGTAGAGATGGTAGATTTGTTAGTAGATCTGGCACATCATCTGCGTCCACTGTGTCTGCGGTTAGCAGAAAACGGTCGAGGGCCGTTAATGATTCTTGGGTGGTGAGGGGCGAGGTGGCTGGGGGACCTATAGACGGGAGTGTGATTCCTAGCTTTCTAGGACACATCGCTACCCGTATTTGGGAGGACCAAGAGCGGGCTTTGGATAGCGGCATTTTGAAATGCCAAACCCGGGAGAGGACTTGTAACTTCTTGTGTAGTTGGGCTGAGGCTTGGCCGGAGGAGAGCGAGATGGTCGGCCGATTGAGGGCCACTAGAGTGAGCCACCTTCCTGCCACCATGCATGAGAGGATTGACTCGACGCTGATCACGGCTTTCGTTGAGCGATGGCAGCCGGACACGAACTCTTTCCACCTTCCGTTCGGTGAGATGACGATCATGTTGCATGACGTCGAGGCCATCCTTGGGATTCCCGTAGAGGGAAACCGAGCATCTGTTGTCACAGATGCGGATCAGGCAGATTTATTGGCGGAGCTGTTGGCGGTGGATAGGGCTGCGCTGTACACAGCGGCACTTGGTGTGTGGGATCACGGCGGTGTTAAGATCGCAGCAGTTTTGCAGCGATGTTTGCACCCCACTTCACGTAGGACGCAGGACACACAGCTGGCTGCATATGTTTTTCTTCTTCTCGGGTGTACCTTGTTTCCGGATAAGAGCGGAAACAAGCTCAGGCCACGCGACATAGTTGACGCGTGTGAGCCCGACAGAGTAGGCCAGTTTTCTTGGGGGTCGGCTACATTAGCGTACATGTATCGCCAGTTAGGATTCTCGAGCCGGGCATTAGACTTTTTGAGGAGAGGGACAACATGACGACTGCAACAGGCAGAGCTGTTATTGATGAACTGGAACGGGCCCTTGAGCAGTGGCAGTGGGCGTCACAGAGAGATTATTGATATGTCGGCAGTGCATTTATAAAACATTTTCCTAGTTGTTTGTAAAAGTTAACATTATCTGTTCTTATAATTATTATTTTAAGTTCTTAGAATTTGACATTATATTTTTAGTTTTTATAACTTTTATTTTAAGTTGTAATTAGTGGGCATACGAAAACTAAATACAGGTTCACATTTAAATGGGAAAACTAAATACGAAAATTAGAATCCGAAAATTAAATAAATGGGAAAAACATAGCAATAGCAATATTAGGTCACATAGAAAAGGCAACTAGATTGTTCCACTGCTGCACCCGGTCATGATATAACGCATCCCAGCCCTCTACGCTTGCTGTACGAATGGTGTACCACGTTGGTATAATCGGTGGGACCGGAAAATCGGGTGACAGGTCCAGTCGGATGAAATGTCTGTATGACGGCCCCAGAAATCCAATAGCAACCTCTCTTACCGGTCTACGATTGCCGGGCACCATTGGTATGCATCCTTGAAGTTATCCAAGGCTCGGTCGTACTCTGCCTCCGTGGTAGCTTGCAGGATCTTCCGCCACTTACCATTTACCAATCTCTCTGCTGAATCTAAGTTCTTGTTGAAAAGGTTGTAGGCTTTGACTTTCACGCATTTGTTGATGTGCCATGTGCACAGTAAATGGCTCGACTCCGGAAACAGCTCCGCTATAGGGGCAAAGAGACCTCCCTCACAATCGCTGACGATGGCCGATGGCTGAACACTTGGGCCGATGTAATTTCTCAACTTCTCCAACACCCAACGGTAACTCGCAACCGTCTCATCCTTCATAACTGCATAACCAATCAAAAAGTTCTGGTTCGTTGGAGTCATCCCAACCATCTCAACCAGTGGAAACTTATACTTGTTTGTCTTGTACGTTGAATCGATCAGAATCACAGATGGCCAAGACGAAATCATATCAGCACAATCAGGATGCACAAGGAACAAATGAGTCACCTCCGATGTGTCTTCATCAGATTCAAACCAGTACAGGTAACCACGTGCTTGTGCCTGGTGTAGAAGCTGCTGTATAGGGTTCCTTCCCTCTGACCGTTCAAACCTCAATTTATGTCTGACGTTGTAGATGTGTCTTCGGTTTGGCTGGTCTTCAGGAAATTTCTCCAACACAGATGCTAATATTTTAGCAGGCTTCACTTGAGCATCACTCATTTCTTTTACAATTAGTTTCGCAGCAGGACTTAGGCCACTTAACTGTCGATGACCCACTTCATATGCGATCATCTCATGGTTGTGATACCCCCATTTACCGTAACTCTTCACTTCCCAACCGTCACCCCTTTGCTGTTGTCGAACCTTTACTCTGAACTGACACCCACAACCTTTCCGCTTTGTATCAAACCGAATCGCTTGACTGAAATCTCGTTCCTCCCTTTTGCGATAACGGTCGCATCTCAAAATGCGATCCATTCTACCATCCCGTTGAGATTTATGAGTTGCTACTACTAAACAAAAACCTGATCTAATTGCAACCTGTTTCGCCCAATCAACCGCTTGTTGAGCATCTTCGAACAGACCATCGTGTACAAAAATCCCACTATAATCATTTCCGTCTCCACCATAATCCTGCAACAATAACATATAAATATAATCACATAAGAGTAGATTAAATTAATACATTTGACACAACATTAGCACAAAAGCAAAAACAATAATAAATTATAAACAACAAACAAAGAAATAAACAAAAAGTATTCAAAAAAAAAAAAAAAACAAAACACAAAAATAAAAAACATAAACAAAACTTTAGATTAAATAAATAAAAATAAACCAAAAAAAAAAAACAAAAAAAAAACATAAAACGAAAAAAATTGTAAAAAAAAAAATAAAAAATAAATAAATTAAAAACAAAAACAAATTAAAACAATTAAAAACAAAACAAAAAAAAAAAGAAAAAAATTGTAACACAAAAAAAAAAAAATAAACAAATTTTAAATTAAATTAAAAAAAAAAAATAAAAAATAGTGGTGGCGCCTAGCCAGGACGCCGCCACCGTGGCGGTGGCGTCTAGCCAGGACGCCTCCACCGTGGCGGTGGCGCCTGGCCAGGACGCCGCCACCGTGGCGGCGGCGTCTTGGCCAGACGCCACGGCCAGGGTGGCGGCGTCCTGGCCAGGCGCCAGAGTTACGGTGGCGGCGTCCTGGCTAGGCGCCACCACTACGGTCACGGCGTCCCGGCAGGACGCCAGCCGCCAATTCGTGGTTTTAGATGGCTTCGTACCTCCTTTTCCGGCGTCAACGGCGTCTCTCCGGTGCATCTACCCGACGTTGAGGGCTCTTCGGTTTCACTCGGCGATCCAGTCCTGCTCCACATTTTTTATGAGTGAAAAATTTTATTTTCGGTAAAAATTAAAACAAGGGCAATAATGTCAACATTTTTAAAAAATGTGGGCTTTATGTAGAAAAACGCGGGCGATGTTTAACAAATCCCTTGCTTTTACCCCCTTTGCTCCCATCTTTCTCAGTTATTACACTTGAATTTAATCGCAACTATCCCAACTATTTCTCGTGATTTCTCCATTTCACCTTTCTTTTCTCCTCCTACTATAGTTTCAACACGGACCCTTTACATCACATCTTCCTTGATTCAAAACTTTTGAACTTCCCCCTTTTTTTCACCTCTTATAAACCCTAATTTCCCTGTTTTTCTCAACACCCATCTAAAAAAAATCCAATTTTTGTTGCTGGGTTCTTTATTTCTGCCGATTTTTGATGTTGGGTAAGTTTTATTTTTCGTTATTTATGCTGATTTTTGGTGGTTCACTATATTTTACAATGGTTATTGCTTTCTCTGTTGTTAGTGGAGGTTTTATGGTGTGATTTTTGACATTGGATTTGCTCTTTATATGATTTAATTGATTAAATGTTGTCCTGTATTATGGGAATTATATCTAATGTTGTGAATAGTTTGCGTAAAATAGACTTTTTTTTTAATTCACTTTTTACTTAAATTTTAATTTTAATTATTGTTTTTTGGGGGAGTGGGATGGAATTGCTTTGTTTCAAGAAGAAAGCTTGTGTTTGAGAACAAAACTCTAGGTTTAGTGGAGTTCATGTGTGACCGACCCACTAAAGCATGACCTTGATGTTAGATATGTTGGTGGAAGTCAATTTTAGAAGTTTAAGAATAGGTGTTTGATGCTGAAATGAGTTAGCTGAGTGGACATTTTGGTGTATTGGCAGCTAGCATTATAGTGAGTAGTGAAATGAAGCTGGTTTTCGTAGCATTAGAGAATTCATGCTCACAATTGCAACTTCGACTCTTTGTTATAGTCTATTGAACCTTTATTATATGTAGAATAGCTATTCTATTTAGAGGTAGTTGTAGGCTAAGTGAATTATGTGCAAAGGAAAATATTGAAGGTGCTAATTATAAGTTGTTTCTTGTTAAAATGCCCCTTGTTTGATATAATAAAATTGAAACAATCCAAAAGTTATTGCTTTAGATCTTGGCTTATAGTCGATGTAAACATGGTATGAATGGAAAAATTGTTTAGGTTTTAGTAGCAAGTAGTGTGAATCTGATGAAATTCTGCAATACTTGCAGGTTAGTGTTCCTTGTATACATGTCACTTTACAGACAGATGTTAGTTGTGGCTCTTTTTGAAGTGGTAGAAGTAGCTGTTGCAGTTTTACCTACCTAATGTGCAGAACTGCTTGTTCTAGCAATTTCCTCTTTCAATATGATGGAAGAGCTCTCTGGAAGTTCTTTGGCATGACCCTTGCTTCTTGCACCAATTTATCTTTTGGATACATCATCTAAGATGGGTTAGTGTTGAGTTCGCTGGCTATATTTTTGGGTCATTTTTTGTAGACTTGAATGATTGCATCAAAGATGGATACTTTGACTGGCAATTGCGAAATTGTTGAGGTCAAGGAAGAACTTAATATGAATGATAAAGTGAGAAAGCATTACATGTTGAGGCAAGGACGTGTTTATTCCGTTGAAGATGATATCAACCAGCTATTTGACTCTGTGAATATAAAGACTTCAATAAAAGGGAAAGCCTTACAAAGGAATCCTATGAAACGGCCCATTAGGGCTAATTCGCCACAGGCATCGGGTATTGGAATTTCAGAAACTGTAAATCTGAAACAGGCACTAAGGGGATTAAGTCTCTCACAAGCATCGGAGATGGCTGCCTTGAAAAAGCGGACGCAGAAACCAAGAGGATCGTCTGGGATGTCAGATGTGGGACCAAGTAACCAGTTACACAAGACAGTAGTGGTCCAAGTGAAGGGATCTGAGCTACCAGCAAATGAAGGCAAAAGAAATCTCGTAGAGATCTCTTTTCCTGGTAAAATTATGGCCAATCTCTCTGAGACAATACCAGAATTTGTTGAAGCTAGCTCTCCAGGTTCATCAAATCAGGCTTGCAACCCCTCTACTTCGTCTATTCAGACAGACATGACAAAGTTGAAGATGGTCAGAGTATCATCACAGGATAAGATTGTGCCTTTGGCATCAGAAGCCATAAGTGAAAAGTTTAGTACAGATCAGGTTCAGAAAAATAAGCTTAAAACTTTACAGGGGACGCGTACTATTAAAAATGTTTTAGAGGTAGATGACTTAGGTTCTGCCCGTGCAGATAAAGATCAGTGTTGGACAGATGCAATTAACAAAGAGTCATGCCTAAGAAGTGGTGTCGTTGGTGACAAATTTAAGAATACAAGTAGTAGCCCACGTCTAATGAAGCCAGCCTTTTGGAACAAGAACTTTGTCAAGAGGAAAGTAAAAGCAGAGTTTGATTATACTTCTTGCAAATCTCATGCAGCTAAAGGAATTGTTAATACAGATTCGTGTCATCATCCCAAGACTAGGGAGCTGGTTGGCAAGGAAATTAGCATTTCTTTGAAGCATGAGGTTAAAATAAATGGGAAAATAACTCCAGCGTCCAATAGTAGCATTGCCTGCGCTGAGCTCAGTTCAAGTGGTCTTGATGCAAGAGTGAATCAACTATCTGTTGCAAAAGCTGATGATGGTCCAAGTGATGAAGGTAAAGCTGGTGGAAAATCAAGATCTAGAGAGAAGGGGGAGTTTTCTCAAAGTTCGAAAAGTAGCATTGGTGAGTTTAGTAGCAGCACAAGCGAAGAGAGCAGTACAAGTGGGTCTAGCCGTTGTTGTAATAGGCCACATATGTCAAAAGACACAAGATGGGAGGCTGTACACTGTGTTCAGAAGCAGCATGGATTCTTGAGTTTGAGACATTTTAAGCTGCTGAGGAGGCTTGGTTCTGGGGACATTGGAACTGTCTATCTTGCAGAGCTTGTGGGCACTAAGTGCCTATTTGCTTTGAAAGTGATGGATAATGAATTTTTATCTCGGAGAAAAAAATTGGTGCGAGCTCAAACTGAAAGGGATATCATGCAGATGCTGGATCACCCATTTCTTCCTACATTGTATGCCCATTTTACTACGGAGAAGCTCTCGTGCTTGGTTATGGAGTATTGTCCTGGTGGGGATTTACATGCTATCCGGCAGAAGCAACAAAAGAGGTGTTTCTCAGAGCATGCAGCTAGGTATATCTTGTTTATTCTGATTTGCTTTATGATGTTGCCATTAAATTTTTTCATTAGAGTAAACTATCATACTAGCAACCAGTTATTAATTTTCATGTTGTGTTTGCCTATTTATGAAGAGATTGCTTTAGTGATTCTTATAATTAGCATCTTACCTACTAGATTAAATATCCTTGTTTCATGCCCTGTTTAATTTTGTCATTGGTGCTGCATATATATATATATATATATATATATATATATATATATATATATATATATATATATATATTCTTGGGTATATCTCCTGTCTTTTTCGCTACGAAGTCGCCTGTCTTTGCTTCTCGTGTCTGTTTAATTTTATACTTGAGTTTTGTCTCATAAATGTCAACCATGATCAGGTTTTATGTTGCGGAAGTTCTCCTGGCACTGGAGTACCTTCACATGCTTGGAATTGTGTATCGAGACTTAAAGCCTGAAAATATCCTGGTCCGAGAAGATGGACATATTATGCTATCTGATTTTGACTTGTCCCTCAGATGTGTTGTCAATCCAACACTCTTCAGGTCTTCTTCACCCATTATTGAGCCTGCAAAGAAGACACCTTCCGGTATATGTTCTGAATCTAGCTGCATTGATCCATTTTGCCTCCAACCATCCTGGCAGATGTCATGCTTTACCCCTAGACTATTAACTGCTGCATCTAAAACCCGAAAGATCAAATCTGAACAAGCTGTTCAGGTTACTCCATTGCCACAGCTTGTAGCAGAACCAACTGAAGCCCGCTCCAATTCCTTCGTTGGGACTCATGAATACTTGGCTCCTGAGATTGTCAAAGGGACGGTCATGGGAGTGCTGTTGATTGGTGGACATATGGGATTTTCTTATACGAGCTGCTATATGGTAAAACACCCTTCAAAGGATCAAGTAATGAAGAGACGTTAGCCAATGTGGTATCACAGCCTCTCAAATTTCCAGACACCCCTCTAGTTAGCTTCCATGCCAAGGATCTGATTAGAGGGCTTTTAAATAAACAACCACAGAACCGTCTGGGATTTGTGAGAGGTGCTGCAGAGATAAAGCAACACCCTTTTTTCGAGGGCTTAAACTGGGCTTTAATACGCTGTGCTGTTCCCCCAGAACGACCCAAGTTCCGTGATGTTGGTAAGGGTCTCTTTTCAAGCAAGAAAGATACCAAAAGGTCTTTGGGAGTTCAGGGCAACGAGCTCATCGAGTTTGAGCTATTTTAGCCACACTGCTATCACAGCAGCTGAAAATATCGCGAAAATTTTCCCAGTTATTTTCCACAGTGAGGTAGTTAGGTATCTCATACATGTAACACAAGCATAGCTCCTAATGTAAATGTAAGAAATTAGCTATATAATCTATGGAAAAGGATTTTTCCTTGTTCATGCGTATCAGGATTATCAGCAGATGCAAAAAGCTCCATCATATCGGGTAGCTGGTGTACTCGAACATGTTTCTTTAATCATAAGTTAGTAGGTGAATAAACTAATCATGGTAGGTAATTAAGGAGCTTAATCATACCATTTCATAATGGTGAAAGTATAATTAGGATGAGCATGAGATAAGGATCTAATCATGCATGCCGTTGGGTTGCGTTAAAGCGTTCATAAAAAAGCAGGCCAAAAGTAGACACATAGTCAAATATAGAAAGCATAAATGGTGGTTTTTCTAAGGATGGTCTAGCTTTATGCAAATGATGGTAAAACCTAACAGATAAAGAAAGGACAGTGAATTGAAATGGTGGAAAAGCTTTTCCTCACTCACAAGTTTCCTTTGCCCTTTTTTCCTGCAATTTGTAGTTGAATTATGGTTTAAAATTCAAACGGATTGACACTCACAAGTTATAACAAGCTAGAGGTGTAAATGAACCACAATTTCTAAAGCATGATTTAAGGCAAATGTCATTTTCTCTTGCTCAAGAATGACAAGAAATAGAGAGGGAGTTGGACATAAGGAGAAATTTTTGGTTGGTGACATTAGTTGGCCAAAATATATGTAACTACACCACGTGAAACAAAGGAATTTGGTGAAAGTATTAGCCTATCATTTCTTATTTTTTGAGGCGTGATAAATGGTGTAATTTTGTTTAACACTATATTCATGACAATTAGTCGGTTCACTTAAGTACACAATAACCAACTTATGAGCAAATAAACCAACAAACAAAAAGAATTAATCTAGTCTTTTTAAATAAATTTGTTCTTGTGTTTGCCTTCAAGGAAAGTCATAGAATTGGGTATGCTTGATGTAATAGGAGGACTTCACTGGAAAAATGGCTATTAAGCCATACAAATTCTTTTTCCTAAAACTCTATCATATTGTTTCCAAAACTCTACCAATTAAATTAATTGACATCTATAATAAACCCACATTCTCTATAAAATCAATTTGAAATTAACTGACATCTATAATAAACCCACATTCTCTATAAAATCAATTTGAAATGATGTTGGGTTAAACAGGTTGATACTACAACAAGTATATTCATTAGTAGGTATTATGGATTAATGTGCATCATAATCAATTATCTTCCATTGATTCATCCCAATTCCATCCAAATTTCTCATAATGGACCACTCTAAAACCTTTCTTGAACCCAATATTACTGGATCATGGGAAAAAGCCCAATTCAACCAACAATACATCAGTTGGTCCCACCAATCAATTCATAAGCCACAACAACAAAACTAACAAACAAACAAATATGGATAATCCATATTATAGACCAATCCAAAACCTTCAAAACCCCAAAAACACCATCAAATTATTTTAACACAACACTTTCTTCCAACCCAGAAAAAAAATGCAGGCCTTACATTGTAACACCAGAGTGTTGGCACCAACTGTAAATTCCCAATTTTGTCATTCCACTCATTTCTCTTTTATTCCTCAATACCCTTTTGCTCCAATTTCATGCCCATCTCAATTCTCTCTTCAAAATCTAAACTTTAGTAGTAGTAATTGCTCTTTTAGAATCAGACCAATTATCCAAGCTTCTTCATCTTCATCAATGGCTTCCTCTGAAACTCCTTCATCTACTGAAGCCAAGCCTTTCTCTGTTCTCTTTGTTTGTTTAGGGAATATCTGTAGAAGCCCAGCTGCTGAGGGGGTCTTCAGAGATTTGGTTAAAAAAAGAGGGCTCGACTCTAATTTCACAATTGATTCTGCTGGCACCATTGATTATCATGAGGTGTTGATTGAAATTTGTGTTTATTTTGATTTATATTGGTAATTATAAATGGGTTTTTTCAAACAACATTTGGGTTTCTGTGTTCCTGAGTTTTTTGGTTATTGTTTGTGATTTTGAAGGGTAACCCAGCAGATTCAAGAATGAGATCAACTGCAAAGAGGCGTGGGATTGAGATTACTTCAATATCGAGGCCAATTCGGCCGTCTGATTTTAGGGATTTTGATCTCATTCTTGCAATGGATAAGTCTAATAGAGGTGGGTATTACTGTATAATACTAGTACTATCTAGGTTCCGATTTAGTTGTTACATTATTTGTTTAGATTACACTATCAATGTGATGATTAATTTGGTTCAGAAGAGATATTTTACATTGTTGAAGCTCTTTGTGTGTTAAAGGTGGTTCCAATTAATCTATGTGTGTGCTTTTATTGATGATTGTTTGTAGCTGACATACTGGAGGCACTTGATAAGTGGAAACAAAGAAACAACCTCCCTCCTGATGCTGATAAAAAGGTTATATGCTTGTCACTTTGTCAGTCATAGTTGATAAATTTGAATGTTTAAGCTCATATATTACTATGTGTTTAAATTCTGAAATTTATGATCTCTGTTTTGATGGCAATCTAGGTTAAGCTAATGTGCTCCTATTGCAAGAAACATGACGAAACTGAAGTACCAGACCCTTATTATGGTGGACAACAAGGCTTTGAGAAAGTAATGCTTGATCACTTTACTTCTAGTAGTTTGATAATGCATTATGAGTTCACATTTTGCTGGTTAATGAATGTTTTAATTGCAACAATTATGTGTATAAAATTGAAACTTCTATTTCTTTTAAGGTTGGCATAATAAGACAGCATTAATCTTAATCTATGATATTTGAAATTGCACAGCATGATGAACTTATAGGATCTGTTATACATACAGTTAACTAAATCACTTTCATGCCCTAGCAGTTAGATAATGAGCCAGGGCATGACGATGATGCCCTAACAAGCATATTCTTCTTTCTCAGAACAGCACATCTGCAATTTAACACTTTAGACTCATACTTGGCCTGAGATAGATGTATATACTTGAACTTTACATTGTTTTCTGACTTATTTGCAACCTTTCTCTTTCTTGGCACCTTGTAGCCATTCCGATGTGGCACACTCTTGTTTTCTTTTCAAATAACTAAATTATTGACTCCCATGAGTCATATATATACTCCCTCACTGAGTCACTTCCATAATAATCTACCGCATCTCTAGTTTAATTTGTCCCAACTCCCAACGTATAAGCTACTTTTAGGACTAAGTTGAGCTTCATTCTATCCTATATAGTTAAAGATCCTCTGCAACTCATATCCAAGAGTTCCAAAGGTTCACTGTATTGGTTGTGGAGATCTAAAAGTTTAAATTTTGAAAGATAGTTATGAACTTGTGATATGATAGTTCCTTTCCTTAAAAATGTGTGAATGACTCAATTTAAACGTGACCTGTCTTGTAAAGGCAGAAATGCAGAATGATTATAACTAAACGTAGCCAAAGTCCGGGGCATGTAGTTAGTCTCAAATTCAATATATTATCTGCCACCCTTTGCTAGAGATCCTTAGAAACTGTAGAGCTGTTAGCTGTGTTGTCTCTTTATGTGATTTGTTCTTGCCTTTGGTAAATCAATCACCAGGCAGATATTCATATGATTTCAACCACTGCCTTTCACTTTTAAGGGATGGTAAATTAGGTTGTTGGTGTGGCTAGCCTCAGTTTGATTGATATAGTACATTAATTGAGATCATTAGTTAATGGTGCATCTAAATGCACTGTATAGTCATATTTCGTTGAAATCTGATTTCTCTCTGTTGCTTGCGTGACACTTTCCTTGCTAGTTTGTTTTTATAGGCTTCATTTTTCATTGCAACTCCTTTGTAACGTGAGGTTGCTTGCAATTGGTTAAGAGATAGATAACATTAGACACTTCCCATTGGACCCATTCCACTGATTTTGAGCAATCTTTGTGATTGAGGGGGTTGAATAAAATGCGCGGAGCTTTTTTATGCTATGCTTTCTTCTTAATTGGAAAATATTATGATTATTGAAAAGAGAAATGCAAACATGTCTATCCCATGTTTTCACCTTAATATTGACTAATTCTGGGAGGTAGGAAACCAAATAAATTAAGAAGACAATGATTTATTCCATCTTCATTCATGGCTGTAGCCAACACTCCTGATTATTTATTATTTTTTTTTTTTTAAAGACATTGCTTCTTATTGAAATTTGCAAAAACTTCATTAATCCTTTCACTGATAAACGTTTGTCAATCTTGTACTCATTCTACAGGTTATAGATCTTCTCGAAGATGCTTGTGAGTCCCTGTTGGAATCCATACTGACAGAGAGCCATCAGACTTGAGGATTTTGTGCCCATTTTAAGCTTGTTTATACTGCGAAATTAAATGGACGAGTGACAACAGTAATGACCCTGTCCTGTTGAGTCTCCAATATGTAAGGAGTTGATTGGGGAGGGACAGAGGGTTCCAGTATTTGAGATTTGACTATGTAAATGGGAAATAAACTTGTAAAAGGTTGAATTTAAAGATTGTAAAAATATTGATTTTAGACAACTGATTCAGTTCAATGCTAAGTCTCAATTCTGCCATATTTTAAATCATCCCGTGTAAATGTTGTAGTATATTAGAGGAAGGTATATAGGCTAACCGACTGTTATGAGATCAAGACCTACCTACATAGCTAATGCATGATGTCTTAGTACAGGTGACCATGGGCTGGCTAGGCCATGGCAAAAGTTGCTTGCCTTAAACTGATGTTAAAATGGCCTATAATACAATTAACTAATTACATTTAAATCGTCTTTAGAACCATGTTATGAGATGTCTATTGATTATTTCACCAAAATGTTATGCAGGGAATCCAGAAGCCATACGATGTTCAACTTGATATTTCCTAAATGTACATCAATACATCCTACAGGCTACAACTAGTAATGTATATCGCTGTGCCAGTTGAGATCCCTTTACTAATTTGGATTTCTGCTTTTAGATAGCCTTGTCTCTTGGAATCTGTTGTCTATTTGCTTGGTTATGCTTGAGTGATTGTTCAATTGACTGCTGAAGGACTATATATGCCGGTTGTATTGTCAAGTCAAATCATTTATTTGGGGGCAAAGTTTGAAAACATATCTGCACTTTTATTACAAGACGTGAACATATTTACAACAAAAGCATGAATCATGAAAGTCATTAGCTCCACATCTAGATGTGTATTTCAAAACTTAACTTATATCATACCAATATATAAGAAAATGATGTTGCACAACTGATTTTTTTTTGGTCAATGAAACATGGCTTGCTCTGATTTGCATTTGAACTGGCTGTGGAGGTGGCTACTTCATCCAGTGAAAGGTGCCTTGCAACTCAGACAATGTAACTCCGTTTGTGTCCCTTTCTAGATCGTTTCCTACTCCGTGAGTTAGCACTAATAGAAGAGAAAGCATTAACAAGATCCAAGTCCTCTTCATTAATCAAGATCTTGGCCTTCTGAGGTTGGGCAAGGAGGAGTTTGGCTACCAGATAACCTGCGATAGACCATGTCTGAAACATGCGTGCCTGTTTACCAATGAACCTAGCTCCCTTTGTGTCGTAATATTCAGGCCATCTGTCTCTGGATAAACGCTGTTCAGCAATTTTCACAGCTTTCTCTGCGATCTCTGGTCTGTTCATCTTGATGCATGCCACAGTTAGCTGAAAAAACATTGTAGTGTTCTGTCAGCTGTTTTGCCCAATATTATTACTCTTGTAACACTACTGCCTAATGGAATCATTAAAACATTTTAAAGCACTACCTGAAAGCCTCAAACTGCATGCAAGATAAATAAGTCTTGAAATTTATATGCTCATCTTCTTACTCTAATTCTATTTCCCAGTCAACAAAACATTTTCCCACTCTATTCCGTCTCAATGTTAATATTACCAGTACTATATAGGGTATCCGTGTCCTAAGTTACATTCTACCTAGTTTATCCTCAAGACATTCTTTTTTTCCTAATGTTGAGATGATATTAACTGACCTGCCAGAGCAAAGTAGGCCATGAACCTGCATTGTGATATGACCAAGGACTGCACAAGAAACAACATGAAATTAAGATCAAGAAGCCAAATTGTGGGACAAGTAAAAATATTTCAGCAAGTAGGCACATTACGTGTTCTTTGGATCACCTCCTGTGACAATTCGCCACTCTTGGTCTTCAAGGGCAGGATAACAAATTTTGAAGGGCATATCTGCCACGAGATCAGCCCACTTTGCTTCAACAAAATCTAATATGGCATGTGATTGAGTTGGTGTTGCCAGATTGCTTACTATTGACCAGAAGTTTCCGAGTGAGAAGAATCTGAAATCCATGTGAGCAGGTTGCAGGTTTCCTATCAGATACCCACCTATTTCAGGCATCCACTCTGCTAACCATGGTGGGATTTGTTCAGGGTAGATATTGAACTTGTTTACTGCATCAAACGAATATTCTTCAGTCTTGTAACGGTAAATTTCATTGAGTTTCCTCATATCAATCCAGTAGTACTCCCTGATGTGAAATGATAGAGCAAACAACCGACTGTTAAGTGCTCTTATAATTTCATCTGATCCATCTTCAGTAGTGAGCATCTCACGTGCACAGAGCAATGCCGAATAAAACAATGCCTACAAAAATAGGTAGATTTGAAAAGTATTTAAGCTATAAGAGGCTATTTCGCTTTGAAATGAGGAAGAAAATTTTAGTAAAGTATATCAAAAGACTACTTATCAGCCTGAATTTTCAAGAATATCAACATTGATCGATTAATCCTAATGACTTAAAGTAATATTAAATCCACCTGAATTTCAAGGGGATGACCGTGAATTCCCATACGACGATCTATCATGCAAGAGCCATCAGTCACCAGCAGAGTTGGAAACATGTCAAAACCATCAGCAAGACACAGCTTCAAAATCATTTTCATTCCAGTCTGAACATCAATCCTTTCTTGTACTGAGAGATCTCCAGTGCATTTTCCATACGCTCGCAACATTATAATCCACCAAAGTCCTGAATGGAAGTCATAGCAAGAAACATAGAGGTAAGAACCAGCTCATAAACCAGCCTTTACTTCAAAACAACTATTAGATCTTGAGAGCTTGTACACCAACCAGAGTCAACTGGAGCAACACGGCCAATTGCTGCCTCACCAAAATCAGGATCTAGTACTTCTTCAGTAGCAGAATCATCGCTATCTAGGGCAATAGTTCGTACTTTAAAGCTGGCAGGCATCAACCCTTGCCCTGGACTATGGCAATCCATGGTTTTCTCCCAGCTCTGGGATGACACAAGCCATTAAGATCTCTCGTCAAGCCAAAAGAAGGAATTATCAGAAGTGACTAAACATATTTAATTGTCAAAGATGTGAATATGAGGTGTTGAGGTTCAAGCTCTCCTATCTTCATGGTCACATATACCAAATCAACACATTATGACATGGATTGCAATATCAGGGTATAGAATCTAGCCATACTATCCTCCTCTTAATCTCTCTTGTCCCACCCCTCTTGTTTCTGTTTCTATAAAACAATCTTAAATTCATAAGCCACTTTCTTCATGAGGTTAACACGCACAGTTACAATGAAATGAGTTAATATGCAAAACGCCAAAATCACTCACATATATTATATTACTCCTAGTCTTTGTTCTACCTCAAGTACACATGTACACTTAAGCCAAGAGTATGAAATGCTTCATTTTCAGGCAAAAATATGCTGGTCTGACACTTGAAGCTGAGTTTGGGTAACATAGTTCATATATATTCATATATAAAGAGGAGCAAGGCAATGCCTGTACAATCTCCCGAATACTTTTCATGATATTTTTTCAAGAGATGTAAGAAATTCCACATGAAAGATTAAGATGAACAACTTAAGATCTTGCAACCAAGGTATAATATGGCTGAATTGTAACTGTATCATACATACCTGCAATTGAAGGGTGTGAAGGATGAAGTTCCGAACAATTTCATACTCGCCCTTCAAAAGAAATGCCATTGCAGAAGGCACAAAGTCACGGATGAAGACCTGGTCATAGTTCAGAATACTTGTGGAGGTTGGATCATTAGCTGCAATCGTTCCCACAGGACTACCGCAATAGTAAACAATGGATTCTCTAAGTAGCTCCCACGCCTCATCCTCTATTGAATCCGCATTAACCCTCAATGCTTTCTCACTTTTTGCTGCTGCAGCAGCTAACTTTTCACTGGATATGACTTCATTAACATGTAGATTAGCATTAACATCATTTGAATTTGGTTTAAACTCGTCATCCCCACTAGAATACAAGGGTCCATTTAAACCATCTGAACTCAAACAACCAAGCCTCTTAGCTCTACTACTTCTCCAAGGAGGAACATAATTTATCCTCCGGTAACAACTATCGAATTTCAGGAGATTTCTCTTCCCCCTTGAACCCTTTAAATTTTTAGTGCATGTCAAAAAACCTGAGTAACTCAAGTTGGATTTAAGAACAGAATCAGATTGAAGGATTGGATGCCAAAGAGCAGGCCCAGAAAAATAATGCAGAATTCCTTCTGCAATAGCCATTCCTGATCTTTTTTCACTCAATTTGTACTTCTAATAATACTTTTAATAATTTGGGACCTACCAAAAAAATCCCACATCATAAGCTCAACTAGGAAACAATTCAAAACATAAATTACCTAAACAAAATAGATTAAACAAGAAAACATTTATCATCACCCAAGTTATAAAAAAAAATTAAAAATAAAAAGATTACTAGTCTTGGGTCGTATACAAGAACTAGGATCAAATTCCGTCTATATTAAGAGATTAAATACTAACCCAGATGCAAAATAATCTGCAAGTTCATCAATTAAGATAAAGTATGTAATTATATTGCCGCACCCCATCAAACCACAAAGCAATCAAATTCATATAATCACGCGGAAAAGGGGAAAGTTGTAATCTTTATATACATAAAATACAAATCTTCCACTATATTTTCTATAAACAGACAATAAATTCATGGGAAATTTTGATATTAAAAAAATGAATAAAACATTAAAATTACCTGAATCATAGCTGATAAAAAGAGGGATTTTGATTAATTATCTTAGTCGATGATGTATGATGAATTTCTTCACCATTTAATGAAGATAGAAATGAATAAATGTGTAAAAAAGGAGTATTTTAAGATATTGGAAGTTGTAAATATGGCGGTTGCCTCTGGTTCGTTACTTTGTTTGCACAATTTGTAAGAAACAGAGGAAGAAGAGAGAAGAGGCTACTAGAATATTGCCACGACGTCGTTTAGTCGTTGAGTTAACGAGGTCGTTTATGGGAGTGCAGACCCTACCCAAATAAATTTCACTTTCATACTCTTAGCATCATTTTCATTTTACAACATTCTTATGTTTATCATATAACTATGTTATGTTAATATGTTATTAATGTCGTTGCACCAAAAAATATCTATTAATGTTGTAAGTAAATAAAAAAAAAAATGGTGAAAGAGAAATTAGAGAATGAAATGTTATTAATGTCATTAATTATTAATAAATTAATACATATTGGAATTTCTTTTTTGAGAGAGTACATAATAGGGTACTGCAATTTAGATTGTATTACATGATTATGTTGTTTAGCTAATCAATATGCGGTGCGATTAACTTCTCTATAATAGCAACCTCTTATTCTCTTCTACAATTAAGAGTTTTGCATTTACGTATGATGTGTGTGTACGATTGTACGTAGAGTTAGGTCGAGTTTCTTTCCTAAAAATGCACACAACAACTTCCAAATCAACAGAAAGTTGGATATTTCTATATCCTTCATTATTACCTAAGCGTTACACCCTCATTCGTATAACTCACATTATGGTTACTTTTTTTTTTTTTACAAAGTATTGTTACTAGTAATTAAGTAGTCATATATGACGCAATTTTACTTGAAAAACTTTTATAACCATATTCATACTCTCCACATTACTTGATTATAAAAAAAGATATAATTGTATAATTAATTGTAAGACATTATGTTATTTCAAGACATCTTGATTAAGGAATAGGAACACTGTGAATTGTTGTCTTTTCTTGATCACTACTGATATCCATTGAATCCACTTAATTTTATTTTCATTATTATACAAGTAAAGCAAATATAGTGTAAAAAAATGTTGCAATTATGTTCATAGTTTGGGAATACATTGTTTAAGTACTCCATATTGCTGATATATTCTAGTTTTGCTGATTGATTACTTTGTTTTGCATAGAATTGCAACCAAGATATGACCATGATGATAAAATGTACGAAGTATTTGTTCATAGATGCTTGAAAGAGTTGAAACAGAGTAAACAACGCGTCTAATGTAAACATATATACGTGCCAATTAACAAAAGAAAAGCTCCACAATTTCAACACTCCAAAAATTGATTTTGGCACCCTAATTCTGATTGTCAACTAACTAGGACCTGCACTGGAAACTAAACGTTCAAAAAAAGTTAAATCTTGGGACGACGCCGACTGCAAAGAGGTAGTAGCTTCATGAAACTTTACAATTGAGCTGACCAAAAACAAAAGATTGAACGAAAACAGAGTCATCCAGTTGGGGCATGCTACAGCTTCTCTTCAACTATTAACTAGCAGTATCCATGCAAGCAAGAATATCCTTCTTACTCTCTGCAACACAATGTCGCCTCATATCATAATTCAGTTTGTCAAAGTCCTCCACAATCCCGAGATAGCCATATAGTGAATCTTCAGCCTTGTCTTCTGGCTTTTGAGAATCTCCCTCATTGCTCCCAATTCCAGCATCTATCTCTTGAAGCTCAGCCCTTCCATGTTTTTTCCGAGAAAAAACGTTATGAAGTCTTTCAGCTTCTTGCAAACCAGAAAGAGTACCGTTGAACTTTGCCAATATGATATTTGGATTTCCAGGTTTTCCATGGCATACTGTCGTCTTTTCTTCACTCAAACCCATATCTGAAGCACATGCCGGAAACACACAACCAAAGACACGAGAAGGATCAAGCAACACCATGAAGTAGATTATAAAATATTGCACGAAGATGTATAAAAATTATAATTAAAAATAAATATGCATAATAGAACAAACCAACTTCATCATGTCATATTGTTGTCAGGCAACTAACAAAAGGGTAACCAGTCAAGTTGTACTCGAGATAGTGACAAATTAAATCACAGGTTCAGCGATAAAACTTGGATTCGTACCAAATGAAGAGCCTCACCCAAGCAAAATAATGGCCAGTTTAATTGGAGCTAATATTGGAAAGAAAGATAACAAAAAAGAGGATGGAAGCTAGGAGGAAAAAAGAAATAAAGGGAGGAGGGGTGTTGAAAGATTAAATGCTTACCTCTCAAGATATTCTCAACCTGCTCAATTGAAATCTTCACTTGCTCATTGTTATAGAAGTCTCTAGCAGAACCATTGTGAATGATTACAACAGGAGGCCACATAATAATATCCTCCTTTAAAGCCCAAGCTTCTGCATCAGGTAAAGACTGACAAACCCACCGGCCATTAGAAGCAACTGTTGGATCCCATCCCATTAAGATACATAGAGCTCTATGAAACCCTAGATGTGCTGCTCTAAACCCAATCTTAACAGATGTGAATGCATGTGATGCAACATCTTTTGTTTGAATAAACTCTTTAGAGCTGTTGGAAAAAGGCACATCACAACAGTAAGTTAACTTGCTAAAGAACAGTTAGTAGCATCCAGGTGATCTAAGTCCAGCTTTTGTTCACATATTTAGCATCAGCACCTTACAAAATTATTCTTGATCATACTACAAGGCTTGCAACAACTACTAAACCCAAAATTGACAGCATAAATAAAATAAAACAAAACAAAAAGATAAATTTACACCACTACGGACAAAGAAACAAGGGAGATGTAACAAGCTTGTTTTCAAAAAAAAGAAAAAAAAAGAAAAGATGTAACAAGCTCAAACAAAGACAAGAGAAGGAAGCTAATTTAAGAATAACACATATAATGCTCAAAAGGGGAGTGTCAAATGGCCAAAAGAATGATTCAAAATAAGGATTCTAAGCAGGTTTAATATTTTAGAAAACTTAGTGGACATAAGAATATAAGATATATGTTATTCCAGTGTCAAATCTTGGGTAAATACTTTAAGATCAGCAATGTTGGCACGTTGTCCAGACCTCCTAAGAATAGATAAGTAAGAAAAAAGAGAAATCCTCGGTCTCAGGGCTCAGTTCACAGCTTAACATAGTTTTTTTTTTTTTTTTCATCTAGCTCTCAGTATCAATCATCAAGAGCTACCCTTATTCTTATAATGATAAAGCATCACAATAGCAGGCATCTTAGGACCTAAGATGTTTATTTACCACTCATTAAATCATACTGAATATTTAATAGCCAAAAACAACTGTATTAATCAAAATATTCACATAGTTGCAAGGTTGAGGAATATACTGATTAGCAATAGGGCATCTAATTAAAGAGAATCAAATCAATGTCAAGACAGACCTGGAACATATGACGCACTTCAATGTACCAGCTTTTCCTTGCTCCTTGAACTTTTTCTGTCGACCTAGGTTTGTATTCAAGTAAAGCATGCATTTTAAACACCAATGGTCCACTTGACGCTTAAGTTCTTCAGTGTTTTCTGGAGGATCTTTCTCCATGGGTTTCACCTTGAGTATTGAATGGTCTGGATCAGCTTCTTGTGGAGGACCTGCCTCTTTTGTACTCCCAGAGTTTTTAGCAGCTAGCTTCTGCTGAGACTCTATGTCAAGTCCAGAATGTGAAACTGGAGTATCAGATGAAGAAACATCCATAAAAGATGGTCGCTTGAGCCTCTTTCTAGTGCTGTTGCACTTTTCTTTGCCATGAGGTTGTGAATCAATGTGGTTAACATTCAGAGAAGGCTTGACAGTGCTTCTATCATTGCCCTTCAAAAATTTCAAGGCCTTAGGTCCATAACAACGAGGTATGAAATGAGGGTACTTAAGCCGGTTTTTTATATCATTGCTGTCAGTTTCACCAGGTTTGCTTAAACGGCTTTGCAATCTCTTGGACAAACCACCAAATAGCTGTTTAGATTCAGTTTTAGGCTTTCTTGCAGTTTCATTTGAATGAAAATACTGACTTAAACTCCTATTTGAGTGACCTAACTCGTTATCAAGATCAGCACTTAAAAGCCTATTATCATAGCTCAAAGCACCTCTACCACCCAAGGTAGAAGTTCTGTGCTTAGACCCACTCATCTTTCCAACCAACCCACGCTTTCTTTTAGAAATTTTCTTGGGATGGTCATGCAAATCAATCTCTCTTGACCTCAATACCTGCTCTGGATCTTCATCAACAGTTAGAGTTCCTTCCTCTAAAGTTGAATAGTTCCCGGTTTGGTCTTCATATGATGCACCATATGCATCAATTTCATAAGGATACTCTTCTTCATGAGGTGTTGTTTCATAATTAGTCTGTGTTTGATGTTCACGATAGCAACTTGTTGGTTTCAATTCAACCCCACCATATTGTATCTCATGGGGAGTCGTTCTAAAGCCATTGCCATCCGTGATAGGCGCCTCTCGCAGTGTGTGATCAGAACTATGCCGTCTATCATCTTTATGTCTGGGCAAGGCAGGATTTAAAGTGTCATTTTCAAATGTTTCTCCATAGTTATTGTAACCTTGGACATTCTCATATTTGTCATAAGCATCTTCTGATAAAGCTCTTCCATAATTCTTTCCAGACCTTTGACTCTCTGAATGCATGCACTCAGCATGCCTGCCTGTATTTGAATTAGGCCCTGCTCTTAGATAAACACCATCATTGTTTGAAATAGATAAAGCATTTGTACCAGCTTTAGAGTATAATATGCCATGGGAATCATAGCAACTTGAAGATGGATTATTCCCACTAGTTCCAATCCCATCCGCAGGATGATGGAAAACTACTTGGCGTGGAACGTCCAAATTTGGAAAGGTAATTCCTTGCGATGGGGTATGTTGACCACTAGACTGTGAACGTGGAGTCAAACTACGAGAGCTATCCTCACCCTGAAACCTATGATAATTTCCATCCTCGTAAGGATTTGCTGATGAAAATTCCCTATCCATATGCTGAGAATAGTTCCTTGCCAGATACCTCCCACCATCTTCAGCCGGACGACAAGTCATCACACTCCTTGTGCGTCTATGATATTCAGCATCTTCAACTGAAAGCCCAGTCTGTTTCCTAGAGCTTCTACTGTACTCGACATCTTCAACTGGATGACCAATCATATTCGTGGTGTTTCCATTATAATCAGCCTTTTCAATCCGAAGACCAGTCAAATTCCTAGTGTGTCCATTATAATCAGCATCTTCAACCCGAA